CGAGTTCGGTTTTCAGCGATTTAATGGTGCGTTTTGAAAAGCTGCAGAGCAGCCAATCAACAAGCGTTTGACTCGTGTGCAGGCCCGTCGCGACAAGGCAAGCAAACCAAGCAATTGCTTGGGACCCTGAGCTGGCCTGGGGCCCCAAGACAACAACTGGTTAAGAACAAACTGTCTGTCTGTCTGCCCCTTTGATAGTCAATGCAGTAAAGTGCAAATAGCTTTCCTCCCTGTTCCCATGATGCCTCCTGTTGGTATTGTCGAACGTCCGGTCAACGGACGTCCTAGCGAAGTATTGTCGAACGTCCTGTCAACGAACGTCCCGGCAAAACTGTCGAATTGAGTTCTAACAGAATGAGAACAGTTTCTCCATTCGTGTTAGAACGCAATTCGGGACTTTGAATGAATGAAATTCCGATCCTATTCATTGTGGCGGCTGCATCTTGCAGCCGCTTAGTAGATAACTCCCTAATTCCCACGCTATTAGGGAGCTATCTACCAAAGTTCCAAAGAACTTTCCCATGCTGTGTAAAATGACACATAGCACTCGGATTGGCTTAACCCCTTAAGGACACATGACATGTCTGACATGTCATGATTCCCTTTTATTCCAGAAGTTTGGTCCTTAAGGGGTTAAAGGGACACTCCAGGCACCCAGACCACTTCTGCCCATTGGAGTGGTCTGGGTGTCAACTCCCACTTCTCTTAACCCTGCAAGTGTAATTATTGCAGTTTTTTATAAACTGCAATAATTACCTTGCAGGGTTAATTCCACCTCTAGTGGCTGTCTACTAGACAGCCACTAGAGGGTACTTCCTGCATAATAGCACAGAAAACCTGTGTTAGAGCGTCGCTGGACGTCCTCACGCTGTGTGAGGACCAATAGGAAAGCATTGAAAAGCATTTTCAATGGGAGCTCTAATGCGCATGCGCGGCATTGCCGCGTAATTCAGAGGAGGAGCGGAGGAAGAAGCAGCGACGTGGGACATGTCACTGCCTCTGGTAAATTACTGAAGGGGTTTTCACCCCTTCAGCAACCGAGGATTGGAGGGTCAGAAGGAGAGGGGACCTGCAGTGCCAGGAAAACAGGTTGTTTTCCTGGCACTGGAGTTTTGCTTTAAACCAATCAATCAGAGTGTTCTTAGCCTAATTGCAGGGCGGGGCAAGGCTTTATAAGCCTTGCCCCGCCCTGCAGAGCCCAGTCTGCGGAGCCCTCCATGGGTGAAGATGGACTATTTTTTTAGCATCGGGATTTTTCCTTTTTCGTAAAAAAAATTTTTGCGCTCAGATTTTTTATTTTATTTTAAGTTCGACGGGTATTAAGGTTTTTTTATTTGGCCTTTTTGGGGGCTGAAAAATGAAGATTTTAGAAGAAAGAAGACATCAAATGGTAAGTTTATTTTTTATTTTTTATTTACAGGCTAGTTATTTTATTCCCCCCTCACTATTTTAGGGTGAGAGGGGTAGGTAGGGGATAACTTTGATTTGGGTGGGTGGGTGACTAGGATTAAGATTATTTTTAATTTGTATGTATTTTATGTTATTTTAAGTTATTTCCTTATCCACATTTGTTTGCAGGGCACTACTCTTACCCCCATTTTACTTCCTATTGCAGCCCTCTAGCCCTTTCCAGGACTTTTTTAGAACCATTTTAGTGCCCAAAAGTTCAGTTCCCCATTGACTTCAATGGGATTCAGGTTCGGGGTCAAGTTCGGGTCCCGAACTCAAACTTTTTGCTGAAGCTCGGCCGAAGCCGGTGAACCCGAACATCCAGGTGTCCGCTCAACTCTAGTCCCTATGAGTACACCGGGATGCCCTATGGTGTCTGTAATGCCCCAGCAGTATTTCAGGATTTTAACAAAAATGTCTTAAGGGAGAACATACACACATTTGTAATAGTGTACCTGGATCCTGGATGACATATTGATATATTCACCTGATCTGTGTACTCATCAATTGCATGTCAGACAGGTTTTGAAGATTTTTCTTGTTAATGGCCTCTACTGTAAACTCGAGAAGTGTTTGTTTGACCAAGTTGACAAGCAATTCCTGGGCTATCTAGTTTCTGCTAATGGCTTTCATATGGATCCCAAAAAGTTTCCTGCAATTATAGACTGGCCCTTATCACATGGTTTGAAAGCCATCTAGTGATTTATTGGATTTGCAAACTATTATAGATGTTTCATAAAACGTTTTTCCTCTATTATTTCACCCATTACCAGATTGACTATAAAGGATGCCAGAAGCACTTGATACTTTTCATTTTCTTAAGACAACATTTGCTTCTGCTACTATTTTTCAGCATCCTATCCCTTACTTGCCTTTTGTACTGGAGGTTGATGCCTCACAGGTGGGAGTGGGAGCAGTTCTGTCCTGAAGAGAGTTCCCTGACAAACTAGTGCATCTTTGTGGATTTTATTCCAAGCAAATGTCTAAGGCTGAAAGAAACTATGATATCTGTAACAGGGAACATCTTGCCATCATCGTAGCACTCAAGGATTGGAGGCATCTCCTGGAGGGTTCGAAATATCCTGTTATAATTTTAACGGACCATAAGAATCTTTCTTATTTAAGCAAAGCTACGCGTTTCGTCCCAAACTGGACTTCCTCAGGGGAAAGTGAAGGTCTGTATTGCAGTCTTCTCTGTCCGCAATACAGACCTTCACTTGCCCCTGAGGAAGTCCAGTTTGGGACGAAACGCGGAGGGACCACGACAGCACTTTATATTTATCTTTATTTTTATTGTTATATTTTCAACGCTTTATAGGTTGTTATATTCAGTTTTTATGTTATTACTTGCTATGGGAAGAAGGACGCCGGCACTGTGATTCCCCGAGTATTGTGATAAGCTGGATTTCAACTTTTTTCGTGTGAGTGCAATTCAATAAATACATTGCTTTTTATTATATTGGTGCACTATGGTTTGTGTGCCTCTCCCTTCTTAAGGTGAAACAGAAGACTTCAGCTGTCTGACAAGTCCAGAGATCGTTATATGCCTATACTGCTCTTTCATCTTGTGAGTGCAATTTAAATCAGCGCATTATTTGGTGTTTTAATTTACTACACTATATATTTTCCATGTTCATTCCTTTTTGTAGATTGTATTTTCTTTATTTGCATTAAGAAGATCAGAGGGTTCTTCTTACAATCATACAGTTGGTAAAATTGTTTTATATATCTTTACCTTTTGGGGAGCACATGTGTTATATATTTATATATACTCTTTGTTATCTAGATTACATGGCATACCTGATTCTATAGTGTCCGATAGGGGTAGTCAGTTCATTTCCAGTTTCTGGAGAGTCTTTTGTTCAGAGATGGGTATTACTCTATCCTTTTCCTCTGCTGACCACCGCAAGACTAATGGAGCTACTGAACGTGCCAACCAGTCCCTAGAGCAATATCTTCACTGTTTTGTTTCCCACCATCAGAATGATTGGGCTGACCTG